GAGGAGTTCATTAGCTGTACACCTTCAGAGGATTCTGGAAAGAACAAACAGCACCAAACCTTAGGGCTGTGCGAAGCTTTGGTCGCCGATTTGATTCGGCAGAGATTCAGCCCAATGCAGCGGCCAAATCTCCAGACCGAATCAGGAGACCCTTTAATCTCTCCGAATCAATTCGAAGCGATTAGGAAAGATTCGATGATTTAGACACAGCTTTAAATGTTTTTTCTACATACCTCAAGGTACCAGGTGGCTCGTGAACAATGAGATGGTGGGGCGGATGGAGCGTCCCACGGGAGTGTGGGGGTGTCCCCAGCACGCTTGGCAGTGGACCCAGAAGTGGACCAGAAGCCCTTACGGTCCACTGGGGAGAGTGTGGGGGGACTTAGCTCCCCGCTTGATGACTGGTGCCTCCTGGGTCTGGGAGGGCACCCAGGGTACCCCCACAGCTGATCACCAAGCTGAGGAAGCTGCAGGGGGCCCCCCTGTGCGCTGAGCACGTGGGGGACCCCCCCACACACACTCCTGCAGGACACTCCATCCACCCCCACATCGCAGCGTTCACAAGCTGTGCCTGGTACCTCAAGGCACGTAGCAAAAACTTTTAAAGCTGTGTCTATGTCCAAATCACTGATTCTCTGAATCAGCATCGAATCTTCAGATTCGGCCAAATCAAATTGGGACAGTGATGCGAATCAACAAATCAAATCACTGTCCCTGATTCGGGACAAATCCAAATCGAATACAGCCATTTCGCACACCTCTACCAAACATGCTCTCATTTAAACACCGCTCCATATCAAAATCACCTTTCGTGCTTTAATAATCGCTATGGGTTCTCATTCCAACTGTTCTGGAATATCTGATTTTGAAGCCAAAATATCTTGCTTGGGTTTGCAGTCTGTCGAATTTTTGTGCAGCTTTATGAGAAACACTATTTCACTTCAGCCATGGTTCAACATGGCTTGTTCGCTCTATGAAAATAAGTGATGTTGAAAAGCATGCTTCCTCACTCTAGGGCACAGTACCAATCTAGACCGTCCTACATCCTTGCTTTAAAGGTCACTTGGCAAGGTGCTGCTGTAGAAAACAGTTGCATATGACAGGGTTACAACTTATGGATGGAGAAGTCTCATTGTTCCTCAGCTCACCTGCTGGGATTTTGATGACCTTATCCTGCAACAAAAAGAGCAAGAAAACCTCCAAATCTAGGGCTTGGCAGAATTTTTAAGATTGGTACACTGGATCTATACTCACTTCCTTTGTCGTTGGCCTGAAACATGTAGTGCATATCCAGCTGCAGGCCCACCACAAAGGAAACTAAAACTGCCAGTGCGCAATTATCAATGGAAATACGCATCCCTCTTTTTAAGTGTATTAAGGTACGTTACATCAGGAATACAATGGAAGGGTATTATACGAACACTAGCCAATTGCCTGTCACGAATGACTGAACATTTCAGGGAGATCTTACATGTTCCCCACCACTCACCCTTTGGCCGGCCATGTACACCAGGGAGGGCAATTATTTTGGGTGGAGGGCCACTTACCAAGTTTTGGCAAGCTGTCGAAGGCCTCATGGGTAGCCCCACCCCCTAGTCTCCATCTTGGGACCAGACATCCCATTCCCTAACCCCTGCAAAGGGGTTGTGCCATCTTGGAACCAGCAAAATACCAAATTACATTCTAAAAAGGAAACATCTACAGCATTCATTAATCTGATTTCAAAAAATATTGTTGTCCCAATTTACATGTGTTTGTGCACTGTAGGTAGAGGTGATTGCACAATAGCTTAAAATGAAGTTTTACTCTTGTATGTTGTGGGGGTGGGTATAGGTTGGGGGGCCTGTGGGTGTGTGGGGTGAGGGAGCATGTGGGTGTGTGTGGATATGTGGGGTGTGCATGGGTATGGGGTTTGTGGGGGCTTGTGTGTATGGCAGTGCAAGGGGTGTGTGGGTGCATGTGTATGGTAGGGAGTCCATGTGAGACTCATCCTATGAATGCACACACCCCCACACACACACTGCCCCAGCTGCACGCACACACACACACACACACACACACACACCCACCCACCCTGGAGGGATGTGGGCAGTGGAGTCCCCCCCAGGGCTTGGTCCTGGGGCCTGTACTGCTCAACATCTTTATGAGCAATCTGGATGTGGGTGTGGAAAGCACGCTGTCCAAATTCGCTGATGACACCAAGATGTGGGATGAGGTGGGCACGCTGGAGGAGACGGACAGAATCCAGCTAGATCTAGACAGGTAGGAGAGGTGGGCGGATGAGAATATGATGGAATTCAGTGCAGACAAGTGCAAGGTGCTGCATCTAGGGAGAAGGAACCAGCAACACACCTATAAGCTGGGGAACACCCTTCTTGTCAACACAGTGGCAGAAAGGGATCTTAGAGTCACTGTTGACTCCAGGATGAACATGAGCCGCCAATGCGAGGAAGTGGTCAGTAAGTCTAACCACACCTTGTCATGCATGTACAGATATATCACAAGCAGGTCCAGGGAGGTGATCCTTCCCTGCTATGCAGCGTTAGTCAGGCCACAGTTGGAGTACTGTGTTCAGTTCTGGGTGTAGCACTTCAAGAGGGATGTGGTTAGCATTGAGAGGGTCCAGAGGAGGGCCACTTGCATGGTCAAGGGGCAGTGGGTCAGGCCGTACGTAGAGAGGCTAAAGGGCCTGAATCTATTCAGCCTCCACAAAAGAAGGCTCAGAGGGGGCCTGGTGACCATTTACAAACTCACCGGCAGGGACGAGTGCTAACTGGGGGAGGCTCTGTTCCCCCGGGCACCACCATGGGTTACTAGGAATAACAGCCACAAATTGTTAGAGACAATGTTCAGGCTGGACATCAGGAGATATTACTTTACAGTTAGGGCTGCCAGGCTCTGGCATGGACTCCCAAGGGAGGTGGTGCTCTCTCCTACTTTGGGGGTCTTCAAGAGGAGGCTGAACAGATATTTGGCTGGAGCGTTATGACCCTGCACTCGTTCCTGCCCAGGGCAGGGGGTCAGACCTGATGATCTGTTTAGGTCCCTTCCAACCCTAAGCACTATGAAGCTATGAAACCCACCTCCACCCACTCTACCCGTGACTGCACAACCACACCCACCCACGATGGGCCCCCAGTTGACCCCCAGCATTACAGGCAGACAGACAGAAGTACTAAGCCTGTTATTATATTAGAATGATAACTGTCCCTGAAACACTGGAAGCACCAATGACACAATACATACAATAGCACAGGAAGGGTTAAAGCACTTCTAAACATGCCTTATATTTTGGAGTATAAGGCAGCACCTTATGTGTTTAATCCTTCTTCCCATTCCCTAGATAGCACAGCATGCTCTCAGCAGGCTAACTGGACATTACTGCTAATACAGCTTCTAGCACCAGACATCAGAACTACTAGTGGCACCTATACACATGCTCCGACGCGTTCTGATTAGAACGCGTTGGAGCAGACCCGATTAATCAAATCTGCTGCAGGCCTCATGTATTCAGCATCCCTGCACTTCAATATGTCACCAGGGGCACTTTAATTAAAGCTTGTCGAGTGAGCTTTAGTTAAAATGCTCCCACTGCCATTTTGAAATACAGGATGCTGAATACACGAGCCACTGTAGGCATTTTAATTAGAGTGGTGCCCTCTAATTAAAACACCCCTTCCCAGACTATTAGCGTCTAATGCTATTAGTGCTTTAAGAGTGAAGGGCATGTGAAAGGAAGGAAAAGAAAGAGAATGAGAAAGAATTTATCTTGCTATCTCCAAGCTACCAGTTCAGCGTCCTCCAGAAAAGCAAGTCCAGTGTCAGGGTTGAGTCAGAATCACCCAACCAAAAGGAAGGAAACAACTGTGGGGTTAGTTTACTGTTTACGATGGTTGGGGAGGAAGGGTGGGGTTGCTATGAGAAATGCAACCTGAGCTTTGTAAATCCAAAGTAAAAACAATTAAACCAAAACTATTTCCTGGTGATCACAAGTCAAGAGGAAAGCAGACTTTGATCTAATCTTAGGACAAAAAATCCTAACTTACAAGAACAGCAGGACCATGGAACAAACTGCTTCAGGAACCTGAGAAATCTCCTACACAGGAGGTTTTCGAGAATAGACTGTGCAGGCATCTATCCACGACGGTTTAGAAATAGCAAGTCTCCATCTGTGCAGGGGGTTGGAAGAGAGGCCCTTGAGGTCCCTCCAACCCTATGAAACATCACAAGTTCATATAGAAAACGTAATGTGAAGTAGTAGTATATCTGTCAACCAGCCCTACACTACAAACAGAGAAGGCAACACTGCTGGAAGACAAGATCATTTAACAAGACCACCTAGTAAGAAAGCTCTCAGTTTTCTCACAGAATAATGACCCAGTGTTAAAAGCACAGCAGCCCCAGCTCCCCTTGGCACTGTGTGGAGCTGCAGGTGTTCAGCTCACTTAAAGAAAAAAAATAGGCCACAACTGCCAAAGGACCTGACCCAGTGCCCACTTTCTATTGACTTTATTCAGCCTGGGAACAGGTCCTTGGTAGTGCCTTTTCTACGGATCTGTTCATTCTGAAGTTCAACTCGGAGAGTGGATGTTTTCTTCCTATAGACATAACTAAAACATCTTGCTAATCTTCTTTGTACAAATCCAGTTTGCTGCAAAGAGCGTGTTTTTACCAGTTCTCCTCATGCTCAGGATATTTGCTGAAAAATAGGTTAATGCAGATGAGAACCGTTCTGACGTTATGCAGCACTTAACTGATTACTAGGCCTGCTTTGGGGCACACATTAATAGGACCAGAGCACCATGCATGTGCTCTCTCTCTCTCACTTGTAGGCTTCCAGAAGAAGGAAAGCATCTTTCAGTCTCAAGCCTCCTGTATGATTTCAAATCTAGGAACATAACTCACAGACTGACTAGAAAATAAAAGAATAAAGGGGTGGATCATTGTAAAAGTGAGCGAGGCAGAAAAGAAAGCACATATAAAATGAAGCCAAGTTTTACCATTGCACTGAGGGTCTCTTCCCAATCTGGTCTCTCACGAGGATGAATGCTCCTCTGAAGCTCTGGCACAAAGTCATCTTCTTCTGCGTGTACAGAGGACTTCATCGTTCTAGGGAGGAGAAAGAGACACGTTTGTCACTGGATTACAATTTCAAGTAAATCTTAGGGATACCTACCCTTGGGGTTTTATTTCTAACACATGTTTGCATATCAAAATACAAATGCTTTTAGATACTTGGTAATTTTGCAATTTTCTCTTGGGTCTCCTTCTTCCCGAAACTTAACAGAAATTCAAGAACATAAAACTTAGTAGAACAATTCACATTCCCTACCTGATTTCAGTTATTGGTTTTATTCACTTTGAGCCCCCATTGTAATCATGGAGCCTTTGAAAGTGGTAAAAAAAAGTGAACATGCTTATATGAAAACTTAAAATCCAACACACTCAATAGATTCAACGGACTGGCCAGGCAAACAATGGCTGCGTACACACATTCAAATAATCTGGGAAAACTCTCCCAGCTTTGTTTTCCTGGTAGAAGAAACTTACCCAGAGCCACGTGTACAGACATTTGAACACTTAAGCCCTGAAAAGTGGAGAGCTTGGGGGCTGACACCATGCGGCTGGTGGAGGCCTATGCACACATCTCAAGAGTGCTCTGCAGGCTCCTTTAGTCCGCTTGGCAACATATGATAGCAGTGCATAGAGCTGTTCCCGTTGACTGACTCAGACTCTCCATGGTCAGTCTGGGTTTCCCTGCAGCACAGGGTAGGGATTGCCAAGGGGGTGTATTCTGCTCCCTCCTGGGGCAGCAAAATCCAGCCAGCAGCACGCTGTCTCCTGGGTGAGAGGGAGGGAAGGGCTGATGCTGGAGGACTATGTTCTTTTCCGAGAGAAGCCACAGCATGTCCAGATATTCACTCTCCCAGGAGAAACTCTCTTGGGAGTAATTTAACACTGATTGTCCCCAAATTATTTTTCTCCTGAAGCTAACATTTTTACTCTGGGGGGAAAAAAACCTAAACATCTGTACACCTGTTGTTTCTCCTAAGAGAAACTGAATGCCTGTATGAAGCTACTGTTCAGTCTCTATTTGCTGTCCCATTATTACCTTAAATGCCCAAGGAAAAAAGAAAGGAAGAGAAAGGCATGGGAGGTAGGGGTGAGGTGTTAAGGAAGTGGCCCATGTAACTTGCTAGGACTAGACATCCCTGGCCCACTGTCAGAGCCAATAGCTCTTTTCTTCCCCGTGCTCTGTGTGGCGTCAGTGCTCTTCACTCCCACTGATTTCACTATGATTTGGCATGATTTCAGCACCTAGTGCTATCAGGGCAAAAATATCCTCAGAAAAGGATATTTTTCAAGTACAGTAAAAGTTCTGTTATCCAGCATTTCCCGGGAATGGGGGGATGCCGGTTAAAGAAATATTCAGGTTAATCAAATGTGCACTGTCGGGTGCATCAGTGTGCTGGGGGACACGGAGGGGGGCCCTGCGCAGGCTGCTTTGCCCTGGGCCGTGGGCCGAAGAAGTGGCAAAGAAAAACTCTGCTCGCAGCGGTGAAACCCGGAAGTGGTACTTCCAATTTTGTTTTTGCCACGTCCCTTGGATGCCGGTTAATAGAGTTTTCCAGCTAATAAAGTTCTCATTAACACAGCTTTTGCTGTACCCTGCCCTGTGTATTTTTAAGACTGGACAAAGATTCAGGTATTAGGGTCTCAAACTTTTTTTTAAACATTACTTACAAAAGGCGTCTCAATTCACCCTAAAGGCATCATCACTGTTATAACTGGAAAGCTATTAAACATCACTTCCACAGGCCATTAGAACATGCCTCTGCAAAGGGATTGAGGCACAGATTTAAAGCACCAAATCCTGCTGAGTATCTAGAACAATCCATCCTGATTTGATTAACATGCACAATTCAAAGCAGGTTTTTATTAATAGGCTGACATATATTTATTTATTTAGACAAATCATTTGATTAATCAGCATTACATACACATGAACCCAAAGGAAGGCTGGCTGAACTAAATGTTAGCTATGCTGATTAATCATATGGTTTGACTAAAGAAATAAATATTGAAAGCCTTTTAAATAACACTGCTGTGCACTCTGCATTTCTTTAAAACAAAAGTTTAGACTAGATGCCACAGAACAAATATTAACTAAGAAATGCTATTTTCTAACCATTTTTGATCTGTATTGACAACCAACACTACTTATTAGCATTTTATCATAAAAACCTGAGCTATAAAATTCTTATAACTATCCCCAAAGTTTATGAAATATTTCAGTTTATTCAGCAATAAGCTCGCAGTGCAGATCAACTGAACAGATATTGCAAATAATTACAACTTTAGGAAGTAAAATGTATTAAATCAATAGGCTGATGTGCAAAAATTGAAACGATCTTATAGTAGCTATAGCCTTGATAATGTGCAATATTTCTTGTTTCATTTAAAAATAAGCCTACTGCACAGTAGTTTTACTTAAATGCACAGGACAGCCACTCCTGTCCTTCAACTCTGCACCAGGCAAAGAGGGTGTAAAGCATCACCATTTGAACTGTAAACATCTTGCACGGTTGAAAATTGCCAGATAACGGAGCCCCAGGGATATGAAAAACAAAGATGTGACAGAGTAACTCGTCTATGAGGTTCAAATGTGTGTAAAGATAATAAACATATTTTACAAAACAGTAAAATTAGATAGACTGGAGACCAAATGGCTTCTTGAACACAAGAAATGTGTGCAGTTTACTTACAGAGGTGCATCAAACTAAGAGGCTAGTATTGGCTCCATTAGCCTAGGAAACCTAGAATAGCAATCAGTCATTTGCCCCTTAGCCCCACACCTGGCATCAATAATAGACATCACAGTTTGGCTTTCTCCTTCAGAGTTGGCCAATTCGATGCAGCATTGATAAGCAATAAGTCAATAATTGAACTGTGCAACTAATCTTTGGAAAATAATTGCCACAATTATCTGCGGGATATTATCTTCTCTCCTCCTCATACCACCAGCCCCAATTTTATAAGGAGAAAAAAAAAATCTCTTGCTTTATAAGCAAGGCAACATAAAAAGGTATTCTGGAGGGCAAAACATCTCAGGAGCTGCCTAACCGCCACACTCAAGAAGACCCACAAATTGTTTCATGACCTTAACTGTCAGAAGCGGAGTCGGGGAAGAATCCAAAAGAGCCAGAAACCCTGGCCTTAAATCAGATCCACCGAATGAGCAAGATCCAAAACCTGTACATGCAGTTTGCAGTTGGGGCACAGAATCTCATTCTCCTTCCTTGTACACAAGACATAAGCATACAAATAATGCTCCTAGTAACAGGATGACTGTTTTCTAGTCCGATTTGACTTCATTTTTATCTAAGCCTCACAATCATATTTTGTTTAATTAGCCAGGGCTTCAGAAAATGTACCCGTCTCTTAGCCCTTAATGTTGAAGTCACATTGCCCTACACTACCTTTGTAAAGTGGTTCTATCCCAACTGCATGACACAAACAACAAAAATTAAAACCAGACCACCCGTCAGTATGCAAGACAAACCATGCTCACAAAGTGTAAGCCCGCACCTAGTCTACAGCTTGACGGTCAGCATCGTGGCCTTCCTGATTTGTACAGTCTGATTCAGAAGGCAAGAGTAATATGCCATATGAGATGGGTGACTGTACTTCTATACCGCAAATACAGTTAAAAAAAAACCCACATCATTTTAAACTTGAAAATTGGGTGTGCTGTTAGTGTTCCCATCTCATGCAATTTTAATCATAAATCTCAAGACTTGGTGTTTTTTGTATACCCCACGCTCCTGGAATTCTGTGCTGCTCTATGAGAACCGCGGCCTTCCGCTGAAAGCAAAAGTACATTTCTAGCTTTATAGTCGTGGAGAAAAGGCTTAAAAAGCCATGGCCCCAAGCTCAAAAAAAAAAAAAAAAA